AAAGTCAACATTAGCAAAACCAAAGCAATGAACACTGGTGAACCCATCCAATCCACAGCTACTGGCCCTGTTCAGTTTGTAAAGCTGGTGTAGGTAACAATTCAATCAAGTGTCAGCAGTGTAACCAGTTGTGTCCCAAACGTTGTTCATAAATAATTGGTACTTCATCTAAAGTGTCCAATTTTATTTGTCCTGCTTGCATCAATCCACAACAACAAATTCGAAATGGCACTGTTTTTGAAGCCATTAAGGTAGAGAAAGTCACATTGTTTCAATATCTAGGGGATGTTCTGGATTGTACTGGAACAGCTGAAGCTGCCGTTCGAGCACGCATGCGTGCAGCCTGGAATAAATGGCATCTCCTTGCCTCTATATTGATGCGGCGTGACTACCACTACCACTACGATCAAGACTTTATAAATCTGTGATACGTCCGGTGTTATATGGTGCAGAAACATGGCCAATGACAACCAAACTGGAACAACAACTTCAACGAACCAACATAAAATTGCTCCGATGGATGCAACGAATTAGTCTGAAAGACCCACATCAAATCTACCGAAATTCTGCGTCGTGCTTGTTTAGATGATATAAAGGACGAATGCCGGCAATACCGTCTGCGGTGGTTTGGTCATGTCAAACGAAGTAGAAACAGTGCTATAACTTCTCTTGCAGATGTTGAAGTACCTGGCACACGTCCCAAAGGCCGTCCAAAGAAGTCCTGGTCGCAAACAATCGAGCAAGACATGAAAGCTCTAAATTTAAATGAAATGGATACAACTGATCGTCTAATTTGGCGAAAAAAGTTGATGGCAAAGAAAACAACGTCCTACCTCAGGGAACTGGGTCTCTGGACGCAAAACGAATTATTGGCGCAAGTAGAATATTCGTAGTTTAATAATATCGTTTTCGTTGGTTGTTTGGACATTATTTTTTATGATTCACGACGTACATACCAGCACTTCATCATACGCGCATGGCGTATAATAGTTTTTGAGTTTCGGACTGACAGTATTCGAACCAGGCCATTGCGTAACTACAGTAAACATGGCACTTCTACCGACTGAGCTAATTCGCCAAACAAATATATATATTTATATATATACATATATACACTCATATAAATATATATATACATACATATATACATATATATATATTTAAATATGTATATATATATAAGGTTTGTCTTGTATTGCATTGTAGATTTGGAGAGCGCCTCGCCTCTATTGAGTTATCTTACGAAGGGCACTATTCAATCCTTCAAATGTTCATTAGTCAAATAAATTATATATATATATATATATATATATATGTGTGTGTGTGTGTGTGTGTGTGTGTGTGTGTGTGTGTGTGTGTGTGTGTGTGTGTGTGTGTGTGTGTGTGTGTGTGTGTGTGTGGTCATCTGATATATGCATTTAATTGTAAATTTGTTGAGTGTGTGCACCGTAATACTCAATATATCGAAATGACTACAACTACTCTGGGACGCAGATTAACAATGTACAAACAAAATGGTGCTATAAAATGCACTATATAGATGATCATAATATAATGCTAAATAGAAACATTTTAGATAATAATTCTAAAATTTTATACCCTAATAATAATTTCTTTGAACTATAAATAACTTTGAACTGAATCATTATTTATAGACAACTTTAAACCAATAATTAATATTCAACAAAAACAAGTAAATATTATCCCTACTAAAAGAATTTTACTTAATAATAACTAATAATTATGATATTGATAGTAATTTAACTAATATTGCTATTGCTATTGCATATAAACATATATAATATATAATTAATATAATATTTATAAATTTATATATAGATAATACATTAGTGGTAACAAACAGTGATATAAAAACAAATTCAAATAAATTAAATAATCATGTTTATATGCATTATATATGTATATATATTTAATTGAATGATCAAATATTTTATTCTTATATAAAGGCTCAAAATTAAAATCTATTTTAACTTAAATTAAATATATAAATAATACTTCTAAATTTTATATGTTAACACTTAGTTTTTGGTTACTATACTGTTGTAACCGACCCCTTGAACTTGTAGGGTATGGTTATTTCTCTCTACGTGGATTCTTGATTCCTAAACAGACTTATTTCGGATGACTTTATTAGAAAGAAAGCGGTGCTGGCAACCACTTGTTTGTATTGCTGTGATCAACCGCTCGTTTATTCAGTCGTTAAAATCGTTAGAATACAACACAATAACTAATCAACAGATAAATCACGGGATAAAACTAATCGTCAATAATTACTCTTCTCGTCAGATGTTTCTTGGCCGTAAATTCTCAGTATCCGCTTCTCAGAAGATAATCGTAATTCACTCGCAGATCGCGTGTACAATTCTTTATGATAAGCTTTTCCTCTGGCGTTATCGCTAATTTGTTTGCAGTACGCGCACAAAATACCTCTGCGATAATAGGACTGCTTGAAACTTTTTCTGACCTCTTCGTAATTCACGTCGTTCTTTTTTTTTCTTCGTGTCGGTCTTCCTCCTTATATAGTTGGTGATGCCGCGTCACGTGACTTTTAATCGTTTACGCCTTCACGTGACGCGACTTTTAATCGTTTACACCTTTTTGCTAGTAAGTTCGTCACATGACTTTTACAACCGTTTTAATTGCAAGCGCTTCACGTAATTTCTAACCACTAGTTCCTATCTCGGTTTCACGTCTGTAACAATACTATTTATAACTGTATTTCAAATTATAACACTAGTGATGGCAATTTTGCCGAAATGAGCTTTTTTGTTGCATTTAAACTATTTTAAATTAGTTTATATTTAATTTATTTCACTAATTTAATTTTATTTAAATATGTTATTTATAAATTATTAGCAATAAAATGATTATTATAATTATTATAAAACATTTTGCTAATTTAATTAATAATCTAAATAATAAATTACAATTTATTATTAGAAAAATATAGAAATTAAAATTAATAATACTATAGAAACAATGTCAAACCAATTAATGAACAAGAAACCGTTAAACACAGCAGGATCTATTACACCAACCATTAAAACTTCATTTCTAATTATGAAACCAACTGCGCAAGCAAGCCAGAAACGATAATAAACCGTAGTCACCTAGTTAAATGCAAAATTGGTGAGTGCGGGCGCAGGATGACAACAAACTATCAAAAAGGTTTACCATGTCAGTCAGGAGCAATAAAGAATCACCTGAAAGAAACTTCTTTTTTCTCGTGTCTTATCCTTTCAGGACATTGGCGACCATCGATCGACCTCCACAAAACCCGATGTTCAACACTTTATAGTAGATGAAATGGGGTGATATTCAACAAGTGACACAAGGACTTCACGTTTGTGACTGCAATCTTTTTCTATGTAATCTTTCCAGTAGTGGTCAGATTTTCTATTATTTCCTTCCGCATGATGTGACCAAAAAATTTTAACTGCCCCCGTCTGATTATCTGTAATTATTTCTTATTTTCATAACCTCGTTCGAAGTATGGGAGGTCCAACTAATTTTCATAATTATTCTCAAAAACCACATCTCATCAGCGTTAATCTTTTTTTCCATTTCTTTAGAAATTGTCCAGAACTCAGAGCCGTAAGTTAGCACAGGAAAAATGTAACACCCTAACGTTTTTAATTTTGGTGAGGATGTTTTACATTATAGAATATGCATCTTTCGCCTTTTTGATATCCATATCACATTTACAATCTGAGGTAATCAGACTTCTAAGATAATTGAAGCTGTTGACTGGTTTCACCTGTTTACCATTAATGATTATAAAGCAGATTGGAGTGGTTTTTGCTTTTACTGATAACCATGCACTGTTTTGTTGATGTTAATTTGCAAGCCTTATCTTTCACTTAAAAAACCAGTTTGGAAATAATTATGTTTCACGCCTCCAATGGATATTCCAGGTAGATTTATCTTTCTCATGATGATCTCACTTAGAGACTATACAGGTCTGAAGAGAATACACAGCCTTGTCTAAAACCTTTTTTTATTTCGGCAAAACTAGTCATCTTGTTACCAACTTTCATCGCTGCTCTTTGTTTCCAATAGAGGTTTTTGATAATTCTTGTGTCTATTCCATTAATGCCAAATTTTCCAATATTTCCATAGGCTCCACGTGTTTCACGCTATCAAAAGCTTTGGAGAAATCGGCAAAACATATAAACAAGTCTTTCTTCATTTCAATCGCTCGTTCTCTGATCATTTATAGCTTAAAGATAGCGCCACAATCCTCTACAAAACCACATTGGACATTTGAAATTTAAGATCTGATTTTGCTTCGTGCTCTCATCATCAGAATTCTCAAAAAAAGTTTTGTAAGATGATTCAAGCTGATTGTTCACATTCCGTTGCATTAGGTTTAGGCAATGCAATAAATGTTGACACTAATTTACCACTGTAATAAATCTCATTCAAAATTTTGTCACTTTTCAATGCCAAAATCATCGATGCATTTAATTTCTTCAACAACTATCTCATCTGGATCTGACGCTTTTTTTGATTTCATTTTGGAAAGAGCGGCATGAACAAAAAGGTAAAAGGTTTTGCGCTTGCTTCAGAGGTTTCAACGACAAAACACAGCGTATATGAATACGCGTGAAAACCACACATTATGCACATTGCATATGATAAGCAGGGGTGGTTCTCTTTGAATTCGAACCCAGTCACTGCAGCAGCAACCATGTTTTTTGATTTGGTTTGTATTTGTCAATGGTTTTCTAGGCAAAAGTTGAAACATCACCAGAGAGTTCCTCTTGTATAACTCAATTTTTCAAATGTCCACTTATCAAATAGATTGTGTATTCTCGTACTGCTCACGTCTAACTCAGAATATATTTAGTCTTTTTCAAATAAAAACTTGCTTTAAATTAAAAAATTTATTGCCCATTTAAATTATTATTTTTTTTGTTGACAAATTCTATAATCTTAAAAATGGATTTTAAATTAATACCTATGAACATTTATGACAGGTCATTATGACATGAATGCTCATGCTTGTGTAACTGGGAAACCAATATCTCAAGGAGGCATCCATGGTCGCATATCTGCCACTGGAAGAGTTTGTTTCATTTTTTACGTCATTAATATTTTACGAAATTAAATTTTTTCTGTAATTTTTTTTGTTTTTTGTAATGCCGCGAAACTGCAGAACTGCAAAACATACGCACAACTGCTTACATTATATACTTTTAGTTAAACTTGCTGCCACAAAGACAACAACATCCACAAGTAGTTCGTATGCACGTGCAAACACCATACCATACACGCATAGCCTTTGAGAGTCTAGGTTTCTGGTAGACAATTGGAGTCAGGCATCGCGTAGCACCAGCGCAAGTCAAGACAATTTAATTGATTGATTTAGCCCGCAGACCGATAAATAAGTCTCCATCACGTTTGCCTTTTGATGAATCTCGCTAGAAACGCTATATATAGATAGGAGTGTAGTGTGTAGTGTAGTGCTTTCATCGCTTTTGTGTAGTGCTTTCATCGCTTCTTACTGAACATGCGTGGTGAGCCTTCTGGATAATTTGGTTGTTGTCATCCCGATGTATTCAGGCTTTTGGTGCCCACACTCAGCAATTTAGCATTTTTACATCCAATATTTTAAATTCAATATATATTATATATATAATATACTCGTTTGAGTATCTATATATATGTATTTACTCAAACTAGCTTGTACGGCCACCCAAACCCAATAAAAACATAAACCTGCATGAAAATAACAAAAAATAAAATCGTATAGCTGGCCAATGAAAACAAGTTAAATTAAACCAAAAATGAACAGAAATAACTTAGAACAAAAATGATCATCCAAATTTATCAACAAAACAATTGAATTCATATTAGAAGTTTTTCCTTGTAAAATAACTTAAATAATAAATAATTAAATCATATCCTGTAAAAAAAAGATGTTCTTATCAGGTGGAGTCCACGACGACAACTCATTCCAGAATATCTTGTACGACTTGTGATGGAAATGTATACGAATACTAAGACTTTCGTCAGCACAACGGCTGGAAACATAGATGCATTTGACATAGGCGTTGGAGTTCACCAAGGCTTGATTATCAGTTCACTATTATTTATAACTGTGATGGGAGAAATCACAAAGCCGATGCGCACTGATGACATTTGGAATCTAATATATGCTGATGATATCGTTTTAACAGCCATGTCTGAGCAGAATGTAACACAGATGTTTGATGATTGGAACACCAGGATTCAAAGTCAACATCAGCAAAACAAAAGCAATGAACACCGGTGAACCCATCCAATCCACAGCTACTGGACAATTGCCCTGTTCAATTTGTAAAGCTGTCACAAACGTTGTTCAAAAATAATTGGTACTTTATCTAAAGAGTCCAATTTTGTTTGTTCTGCTAGCATCAATCCACAACAACAAATTCGAAATAGCAATGTTTTTGAAGCCACTAAGGTTGAGAAAGTCACATCGTTCCAATATCTAGGGGATGTTCTGGATTGTACTAAAACAGCTGAAACTGCCGTTAGAGCAAGCATACGTGCAGCCTGAAATAAATGGCATCTACTTGCCTTTTTATTGATGCGGCGTGACATCCCACTACCACTACGATCAAGACTTTATAAATCTATGATACGTCCGGTCTTGTTATATGGTGCAGAAACATGGCCAATGACAACCAAACTGGAACAACAACTTCAACGAACCGACATGAAAATGCTCCGATGGATGCAACGAGTTAATCTGAAGGACTTAGTCTGAAGGACCACATCAAATCTACCGAAATCCTGCGTCGTGCTGGTTTAGGGGATATAAAGGACGAATGCCGGCAACACCGTCTGAGGTAGTTTGGTCATATTAAACGATGTGGAAACAGTGCCATAACTTTTCTTGCAGATGTTGAAGTACCTCGCACACGTCCCAAAGGCCGTCCAAAGAAGTCCTGGTCGCAAACAATCGAGCAAGACATGAAAGCTCTAAATTTAAATGAAATGGATACAACTGATCGCCTAATTTGGCACAAAAAAATTAAGAAAACAATGTCCTACCCCGGGAGAACTAGGTTTCTGGACGCTAAACGAAGATTGATTGATATATATGTATGTGTGTGTGTACAGAATTGGTGAATGTTGGCATTAAAACTCAGAATACTCTGGATGGCAACAACCAAATTATCCAGAAGGCTCATCATAAAGGTATTTATTGTTATATCCGCCGAAAGAATGGAATTGTGCAATATAATCAATTTTAAGTATTATTATCTTGATTATTTGTTACTTTTGTTATCTTAGCGTGTCTGTCATCAATTGTAAAATTTTAGTATAAGGCACGGCACGTGTGTTGTGCATTGTGTTAGTAAGTTGAGATGGTGAGATGGCCCAGTGGTTCAAATGCGCGCTGATTCGAAGATCTCAATGGTCAGCGTATATGCTGCGGTGCTTGCGCGTGCACATAAATACATGTGTACGTCGTGCGAAAAGAAAGAACAGCCTTTGTGGCGAGGATGGCTGCTTCAAATCAATGAATGAATGAAGATATGAAGAACATAATAAACATATATAAATATATATGGAATATTGTAAGTTCTTCTGCGTAAGTTTTTAATTTTAAAATAAAATACTATTAAAATAGAAAAAATTTTTTTACCTGCAACCTTGTGTAAAATTTAAATGGTGTTTCTTATTTTAAACCTTTAAAAAACAAAAGGTTTTAGGTTTGGTATTCAAGATCTGGTTAAGAATTTGTTATTCAAAACCTATATAATAAAATTTAGGTTCAAATTCGTTTTCTTGGCATAGGCAGAAGGCCTTAAATTAGTCTCATTAATTAAACTCATGACAACCGGTATGATACCTACACTTTACAGATTGAAACCTTACAACTTGCAACATCACCATTTAACAAATTAATTATATGGTGTAAAAAAATAATTTTTTCATAAGGGAGTTTTCCATGGAATAGAAATGTTTATTAACAACAAACATTACATGGATCAAATTGGGCTATCTACTGGACTGGAAAACAAAACATTTATTGTCCAGGCAAGATAAATGTTTTATTCGCTTTTGTTTTTTTTTTAATTTTCCACTTTATCAACTTTAGTTTTGTTTAATCAGGGATTTGGAAATGTTGGTTTGCACACAATGAGATATTTGCACAGGGCAGGTGCTAAATGTGTAGGAGTTATGGAATGGGATTGTAGTATTTTTAACCAACACGGTATTGACCCAAGAGAATTAGAAGATTGGTTTTTGGTGAGTCCTCTGATTCATAATTTTTGAGATCATAAAAATTATATAAATTTTTAAAAATTGATTGTTATTTTATTTATTTTTATTTAAATTTCTTTAATTTTTATGGTACACATTCATACTCCATGCCTGATTTGATTGTGGTATTAAAAAATGTACAACATAGGTATTTTGGTTCGATGACGTTTAATTTTTTTCAAATATATTTTCCACAAAAATATTTATAAAAAAAAAAGGGAACAACCTTTTTGGTATAAAAATATAGTTTAAAACTAAAATATATCAATAATTGTACGATTATATTTAATAATTATTTAATAATCAAATATCAGTTGATGCACTATTTTCACAAATTGAAGATCTCTTCAGCTCAACAGATGGCCACTAACCGTTCCATAAAAATGGATTGGAACAAACCTTGAATCTTAGTTCCGGCTACTAAATCAGTGGCGTAGCCATATTTCATTTAATAACTCAATTCCTTCAACATCCGAGTCATAAAAATTTCCAAAGTCAATACAATGCTGACGGAGACTGTTAAGATCTTTGTCATTCAAAAGTTTGTCTACATCAACTAAGAATCCGAATTTGTCTACATCAACTAAGAATCCGAATTTGAAGTTCAGATCTTTGAGACGAGTAAACCTTGTTGTCATCTCCTGTTCGAGTCGATCTAAAATACTCTTCATGATACAATTTCTTCTTCTGCCGAAAGTCCTGCATCTCGGGCAAGTTCTCCAGGCATCATTCTCCGTCGCCTGATTCTACTTTCTACAGCCACATCCCATAGCTCACATTTTTTCTTTGCTTTTAGCACTGAATCATTGCATATGTCTTCACGAATTCTTGTAATATCCATGTACAGAGATTCAATATCCAAAGACGCTTCATGGAAATTCATTGTTGGATCTTGAAGTCTTTTCTGAACACGGTCGATTTTTTTGAGTATGTCATGCCAGAAAGGAAGGAAAACTAAGAAGTTGAAACTAAGAATACTTTGTAGCAGAATTACAGCATCGCCTCTAGTTTCTTGTGTTTCAGTTGTATCTCCAGTAGACTGACTATGTTATCAAGTCCATCATGAATTGCTTTAACACATTCTGCTCTAGCACTCCATCGTGTTTCTGATTCACGTTTGACTGTGATGATCACTGCTTCTTTAAGTTTTTCCCATCGATGGGTTGATCTTGAAAAGAATAGATAAATTTTTTCAATGGTGCCGAAAAAAGTAACTACAATTGGATCTTGACTTGCAGCATGCACCCCTGACATATATATATATATATATGTCAGGCGGTGTCTTACTCAATTAGGGGAACCTGTCCTTTAACTCGATAATCCACGAAAGCGCTACCTAGTTTTGAAACTCAGTCAGTGTACTGCCGTCTAAAGTATACCTTTATGAGAGTATACCAGAAATTTTAATCAGATCACACGTCAGGTCAAAGTGCAGCTTATAATTAGGTTGAGATGGGTTACAGATAAATAGAAGCATACCAATTCGTAGGCCATTTACAACATAAGAGGTGTGATTTCCTATAAGTGTGGCTTCTCGTGTGACGTCTCGTCACCATAAGTATATTGATACAATAATTAAAAATAACCCAAGATAAAGGCACAGGTTTCCTTTATTGTGAAATCAACTTGCTAGCCCTATAGTTAGGGCTAAGGCACCAAATGTAGATATGTATATATATATATATATATATATATATATATATATATATATATATATATATAATGAAAACACATATATATATCTATATATTGTATTATATATATTGTAATTTTGATGAAAACCACAGCATGTTCGGCGTTAGCTAACTTCCAATTTAACTTTTTGATTTTTCTTACGGTTGATCGTAAAACATTTTCAAGTTTCTTCAGTTCAAACCCAAAATTATGCTCAAATATATACATACATATATACTGTGTCTCTACTCAACTTTGTTGATTCCTTGTTTGTTTATAATTAATGATTTAGGCTCATTTGATTAGTTTTACAATGTTTAAATATAACACTTTTATTATCGACGGTTCATTTGTTTCTAAATATAACACTTTTACGTGTTTTCATTATCGATGGTTCATCTGTTTCTAAATTTATTAGTAGGAAGAATTCCAATTGCCCGTTGTTGAATATATATATGAGTATATATATATATATATGAGTATATATATATATATATATATATATATATATATATCAATCAATAAATCTTCGTTTTGCGTCCAAATTGCGACCCGGTTTCAAGGTCTACAAAAATGTGTGATAGTTGTTGATGCTTTGCGAGGTACTTCTCTTGCAGTTGCCGAAGGATGTGAATTGCATCAATTGTTGATTTCCCCGCTAGAAAACCAAATTGATGATTTCCGATTGTGATGCACGACGTTAATCTTCTCTCAATGATTTTTTCGACAATTTTCAGGGAGTGTTCTAACAGACTTATACCCCGATATGATGAACAGTTCAATGGATTACCTTTGCCTTTGTATAGCGGGACTGTCATGCTATAGTTCCATTCAGTCGGCATTGAGCAATTTCTCCAGATTTCACGGCAAAGTTGTAGTAACCTTTGGATACCTGCAGTACCAGATGCTTTGATAATGTCATTTGTGAGTCCATAGAGCCCTGCTGCCTTTCCATCCTTCATAGCTTTCAGAGCTTCTGTAAGCTCCTCTACAGTGATGTCTGGAATCGGACCTTCGATGGGTGGAGCGTCAAAGTTAACATTGATGGGATTTGTTTCGTTTAACAGACGATTGAAGTATTCTCTCCACTGTAACTTGATCTCATCTTGTTCAAGAACTATTTCATTTTTGTCGTTTTTGATACATGAGGCACCAACTATGTCTTTTTTCGTACGCTTTGCTTGTTTTGCTATACGGTACAGAGATTTCATTTGTTCACCTTTGCTTTTAGTGAGCCACTCTCTGCACGGATCTGTCCGAGCCCGTGCAACTTGACGTCTTGCATAGTTGTTCTTCTCACGGAAAATTTTATGTTCATCTAGACTTTGTTTTCAGCTATTGCATTACACTGTCATTCCACCACCAAGTGTCACGTTCATGCTGACGTTTTGTACCAGTTTTCCCACAAACTGTAGTTGCAGCGTTCATTAAAACGGTTTTGTATGTACTCTGTACTGGCTTGCGATTGGTGGTCTAACTGTGTTGCGACAATCTGTTGAAATTTTTCTCGATGAATATTGCTTTTCAGCTTCCACGTTTTGATTCTCTGAGGCATTTGTTTAGAATTATGTTTTGACAACAGTTCGACAACCAGGTCTGACACAAGGAGTCTATGTTGGGCGGCACATGATTCGCCAAGTATAACTTTGACGTTTTTGAATAGCCTTCGGTGTTGTTGCTTGACAGCGAAGAAATCAATTCGCGTGGCTGAAGGTCCACTTTTGTATGTTATGAGATGTTCTAACCTCTTTCTAAAATATGTGTTCAGTAAACAAAACCCGTGACTTTCAGCAAACTCAAGGATGTGGTTGCCATCTTCATTCCGTTTTCCATAGCCAAAACCGCCAAGTACGTTGTCAAAACCATTTGTTTTTTCTCCAACGTGGTCATTGAGATCGCATCCTATCAGGATTGTTTCAGATTTTGGTATTGTTGAGATGGTGTCAGAGAATGCAGTCCAGAAGTCTTTTTTCATCTTTTCTGATTCGCCTGTCTGTGGTGCGTATGCAGAAAAAATAATCATTGTTTGCTTATCTATGCGAAGCTTGATCCACATGAGAGGTGAATTAATCCTTTTAATATCCAGTACTTCTTGGGCTAGCGGTTCTCTGACAAAAATTCTAACACCATTTTTGGCCGTCTTTTGATCATTCCAAAATAGTTTATATTTTTCTTTGTCTGAGTTGACATGACAAACACCATTCAAATTCCATCGGGTTTCCTGAAGGCAGCAGATGTCAATCCTTCTACGCTCGAGCATTTCCATGCTGCGGCCAGTCAGTGATCCAACATTGAGCGTTCCAAGTCTAAGTACTATAGAGGGGCCATTCTGAATTTTTCTGCAACATCCCTCCACAACAACAACACACGTTTAGACGACATTTTCCCCGAGATCTGGGGTTGCCGTTTGGCTACCTATGATGAAACCGAAATACCCCTCGCGCAACCTCTTCTGCTGGATGCTGATGACCATTGTCACTTCTGTCATCATAAGTAATTTATTTGGCTAATTTTTACGCAGGACGCCCTTCCTTACGCAACCACAGTTATAAGCGGTGGGCCTAGCCTTTGATGATCCAACATCACTCACAAGGCAGTGAGGGTCAGTTTAATGTCATAACTGCAACATCCCTCCGCTATTGCATACTTACCAGGGATTCTTTGCACTCTTGACCACTTAAGGCCTGCTGGGGACTAGGGGCCGTTGTTTTTCTTTGTGATGGCATAGGATTAATTTGAGAAAAAGTTTTTACATCCGGACACCCATCCTGACGACAACCACCAGTTATAAGCGGTGGGCCTAGCCTTTCGCTCAAAGCACGCAAGGCAGCGGGATGCAGTTTTATGTCATACCCAGGACCATAATATATATACATATATATATATATATATATATATATATATATATATATATATATAAATAATATAAAAAATAAAATTAAATCAGTACTGGAGGGTGATAAATGGCAGTTATTTTCAAGTTTGTTTTGGAATTTTGGTAAAAGTAATCACTACTGAATCAATAGATTCAAGATTCAATTTATCTTGACAACAAACCTTATAATTTATTTTCCTTGAAACAAAAATGCCAACTTCATTACCTTTTCTGATGCCGAGGTTGTTGAAGATATAATCGTACCCAGGTAAATTCAACATCATTGTTTTAAAGAATTCAAGTTGAAACTGTTGGAAGATGATGGCCAACCCAATTTTTTAAGTTTAATTAGACCCGCCATGACTGTTAGAGTTGTATTTTGGTTTAAAATTCCAGTCCCAGACAACAGTATGACGAGGTTATATCAGATGAATTTTCAGTGGATTTTTCAAAAGCTTTCTCAGATCTTTTAAAATTGACTGAGATATAATTTATGTTGAAACTTGTTAGATGTTCTTCAACCACTTCTTTGCAGCAAGGAGTTATCTTTCCATGATAAATAACCCATCATTTCTTAACACCCTTTAATTTGGAGCTATGGAGCTTAGGATCATTAAAGGTGCCAACCAGATGATTCCATTTTGAATTCGTTGAGCTTTATTGAGTTTTTGCTAGCTTTACAATTTGAAAACTAAAGTCACTGTCTTCAGCACCACAATTTTTGGTATGACATTTCATGTATAATTGTATAGTATATGCATCATAGATTAATAGACAGAGTCTAGAAATGACGATCAAGTTTCTGTTTTTAAAACGTTCGGCTAACTTTTAAATTTGGTTTCTTAAAATCTATAACCTTCTTTACGCATTTTTTCGTCTTTACATTCGATAGAATAATTTTAGTTAGCACCAGCTGCCATTTTGACAAACGAACATTTTAGAATTAAATTCATTTTTAAAATAGATAAATCAGTTTCAAACAAAAAAACTGGAAGTACGAAAGGACGATCAGCCATTGACAAAGTTGCATGTTAAGAGACTTACCTAAGAACGCGAAATTCTGATATCTAAAAATAAGATATAATTCTGGTTGCAAAATATTAAAAGCATAATTTCAAGTAATATTTGAAAACTCTTATAAAACCTTATAAAACTCTTCAAAACTCGATAAAACACTGTAAAACATTGTAACAGTAACAGTCTATGAAACACTGTAAAATTGAGTTTTACAGCTTCACAGGGTTTTTTCCACACTAACCCTTGAGGGTTCTACCCTAACCCTTAGGGGCTTTACAGGGTTCATAGAATTGTACATTTTACAGAGTTTTATAGAGTTATACAGAGTTCTATAGGATTTATCGAGTTTGTTAGAGCGAGTTTGTTCATCAGCAACTGTAAATATCAAACTTTTGAGAAACAATGTCTTATTTGACAGCTATATTTCAAGCAGAGTGAGTTCTACAGAGTTGTATTGAGATTATAAATTTTTATAGAGTTTAATATTTTTCAAACTTTCCAGAAACAATTTTATCTTCAACATTATCCAAACCACTTCAGAAACTAACTTTGAAACTCTTCAGAAACAATTTTCTCATCAAGCCCTTCAGCAACTATTTTCATTGCAATGATATTTCAACAACAGCAAGCGATCTCAATGGTTCCCTCGTCAGCAATTTGAAACTCTTCAGATAGTATTATATATATATATATATATACATATGTATATATATATAATACTATGAGTATTGATTCGACTAGTCTTAAAATATATTGGTTGTTATTGTCAATCAATTAATCAATCAATCAGTTATCTTGTAAAGCGCTATTTCCGCGATGTTCACAGCGCTCCTCAATGAATTTTGCAAACAGTTGGGTCTGAACTTCGTAAGTAATGGAAGAGTAGTCAGAGAAGTAAGTAGAGAGTTCCAGAAAAAAGGGCCAGAAATAGCAAATGGCAGATTTAGCAAAAGATAGTTTAACACGAATTAAGAAGAAGCGAGAACAAGAAGACGATCGTAAACTGGGGCGTTTAGGTTCAATTAATATATTTGATAAGTACTTAGGAACTAATTTAGTTTGAGACATACATAAATGTGCAAATTTTAAAAATTCTATATTTTATTGGTAGCCAATGCAAAGAACAAGATATGGAGATATATGAGAAAAGAAAGGGACACGAGCAACTAGACAGCAGTAGAGTTAACAGCTTTACTTAAAGAATAGGGTATAGAATCAGGAAGAACATAGGAGCGAGTTACAATAATCAATCCTAGACAAGAATAACGAAGTAACAAGAAGGAGAAGAGTAGGATCATCAAGAAAAGGCAAAAGTTTTTTTATTCTGCGTAGATGAAAGTAAAAACTTCTAGCAACACTATTAATCTGAGAATAATGAGACATACTAGAATCAAAGATAAAGCAGACTACGAAACTTGTGAGAAACATCAAGAGTTTTAGAATCTGGTAAGATAAAAGGAGAAATAGTAATAGTGTTTAGATTTATTAAAACAAATTATCTCTAGTTTAGAAGGATTAAGTTTAAGACACATAGAGTCAGACTAAGCGATAATTGAAGAAAAACATAGATTATGAAGAATACTATTGAGATTAGATGAAGGAAAAGAAATATAATTATAAGAATCATCATCATATAGTTGACTAGAGAAAGAAAAGTTATTAATAATACGAGGTAGTTCAGAGGTATAGAGTGTAAACTGAGGGCCAAGGATAGAACTCTGAGGTACTCCGAAAGTAAGAGTAGAGGAGTTAGAAGTAAAATTATTGAGAACAACAAAAGAAAAACGATTACAGATTAAGAAGAAAACAAAGATAGACAAGAATCTTTAATATTAAAAGAAAGATCTAGCAGCCTCAAGAGAATAGTATGATCAACAGTATCAAAAGCAGAGGAAAAGTCGAGAGCAAGAAGAAGAGTAAGATTACTATTGTCAATAGAGAAGGATATGTATTTTGAGTAAAGAAGTTTCAGTACTGTGAGCCGGTCTAAAACCAGATTGAGATACAGGTTGCAAGGAGTTAGAGTTTAAATAAGATGACAATTGATTAAGAACTACTTTTTAAATTATTTTCGAGATGAAAGTAATATTAGTAACAAGTCTATAATTAGATAAAGTGGTAGGATCTAAGGATGAGTTTTTAAGAATGGGAATAACAATAGATTTGTTAAAAGAAGTAGGAAATTTAGAGGTGGAAAGGGATAAATTAACTAATTTGAGAATGATAGTATAAAATATTGAAGAATTTTTTTTAAGTAAATTAAAATATATTTATTTATTTCAAAAATTAATAAAGCACCAATTAAAAAAAAAGAAATTTCAAAAGCGCTACTTTATAGTCGAAAGAATAAACAATTGTTTGAGTACGTGTACATAATAACGAAACATAAATCAAATCGAAAACAAATAAGTCTTGAGATTTTTCTTGAAAGCACCCATGTTCATTTCCGGCTTCTTCAGGGACTCTGGTAGACCATTCCATAACACTTGACCCGCAACAGCAATCCCTCGTGCACCAATACACAAGTGAGCACTGTTTGCTATCATTAAATTTGAGCAATCACTTCTCAAGCGAATGCCATCTATGGTCACTGATTTTTTCTTGATTATTTCTAACAAATATCTGGGAAAGATTCCATTCATGGCTTTATACATCAAAATACACGTTTTAAAAATTATCCGTTTTTCCACATTCAGCCGATGAAGATCTTTTAGAGTCTGACTCACATGATCGAACTTCAATCCTCCAACGATAACCTTCGCAGCTCTATTCTGTATGGATTGCAGTACTTTAATTGATTTCTTTGGGAGGCCATGAAACAGACTATTACAATAGTCAAGCCGCGAGTGAATGAAAGCATGAATCAATGTCTGTGTGGCTGATCTATCTAAATAGCTTCGAATGCGATATAATCTGTGCAACTGATATGTACATGACGAAGAGAGCAAGTGATGTTTCATCGATAGATTTGAATCCAAGACAAAGCCCAAATTTGTTACGCTTTCACTGAATTCTATCTCTTGGCCACCGACATTTACCGAACTGATTTTAATTTTCGCTAACTGCTGCCGAGTTGCCACCGGCATAAACTTAGATTTGCATTGATTCAATTTTAATCCATTGTTCGACATCCAAATATCAACCTCAGATAAGCACATTACCAGTCTTAGAATCTCCTGTTTGAATGATTCTGGTTTACTCATCAACATAACCTGGATATCATCGGCATATGCATAACACTTAAAATCATAAGATTCAATAATCTTCATAACTTCCGAAGTATACAGTATAAACAGGATCGGTCCCAATACTGAACCCTGCGGAACTCCATATGAAATTGAACCAACCTTGGATGAAACATCACCAAATCGAACAACCTGCGTTCGTCCGACCAAATATGATTTAAACCATTCAATTGTTACTCCAGTTATTCCAAAATCATTACTTAGTCTATCCAATAAAATCAAATGCAGCACTCATATCCAAAAAGGTTAAAAACGATACATTCTGTCGATCAATGGAGGCCTAGAGGTCAGACAAAATCTTTAGCAACGCAGTTTCTGTGCTATGATGACGCCTATAGCCAGATTGATTGAAGGGCATCAGATTGTGCAGTTCTAAATACGTTAAAAGTTGCTTAGCTACCACACGTTCAACAATATTTGAAAGGAAAAATAAATTTGATATCGGACGATAATTTTTTAAATCTTTTTTATTGTCTTTAGTATTTTTTAATAGAGGAGTCACAACGACATAATGATTACAATATGATGGAAAGATACCAAGTTTTAAACTTGCATTGATGAAACTTGTAATGAACGTAAGGAACAAATTAACATATTTCTTCAAGACATGCGTCGGAATAATATCTAACATGCATGTTTTCGTTGGTGATTTAAGTAAAAGTGTTTTAATTTCAGACTCTGAAACTTCAGCAAAACATGTGAACAAATTATTTCCATTAATTCTACTAACTCCAAATGCCTGCTTCGTTAAATCTCCAGTTGTTGCTTTAATCGTATTAATTTTCTCTTGAAAAAAAAAATCAAAAATTGGTCCGATGTCAAATCATGTGAAACATTACATTTATTATCTTTACACGCGATCTTGTTGAATATTTTCCACAGATTTTTAGAGTTGTTATCATTTATTAATTTGTTCCAATACTGTTTACGTTTTTTTAGTAAAAGTTCTTTTTTTGCTCTTTAGATATTACGCCATTCATTTTTTATTATCAAATCATGATTTTGTTTATATCTTTTTTCCAACTTTTGGGCAACGCCGTTGATTGGCTGACACTCCTCATCCAAACCATGGTTCCGATACATCAACTCTAAAACTAACTTCATGTAAAGGAGCAACTTGATCAACAAGGGTCTTAAGCTCGCTATTGAATAAGTTGAATTCCCTTTCAACATGGCTTTGACAAAGGGGATTCTTTAATTAATTTGACAAACTTTTTCTCATCAATTCCTTTCCATGATCTGATTAATTTTTTCGTTCTCACAGGCATAGTCGCATGAATCAAACCATGGTCCGAAAATACACCGCTTGGAAAAATCTTGCAAACCTGAACTGGAAATCCTAGTGAGCTTACAATTAAATCAAGAGTTTCCCCCAAATCATGCGTCGACCCATTAACATTATTTACCATTTGGAACATATCAAATACCTCTAGCAAACTAATGGTGTGAGCATCATCAGTTCTTTCAACGTGTATATTAAAATCACCAGCTAACAAAATACGCGAAGTCAAAATTAAAACATGCTCCATCATGAAAACCAATTCCTGGAAAAATATCGTCTTTACCTGCTGTGAACCTGGTCTATATAGAGATACTAACACCCAATCTATACCATTAATAAAAAATTTGATAGCCAAAACCTCGAAAGTGGAAAAACATGGAAGGTCAATTTTCTTGTATTTGAAATTTGATCGAAAAAATATGATTAAGCCATCATGATACGGATCGTATGGTCTCAGAAAATCCAAAAAATGATAACCAGATGGCATGGTCAATTTTATAGAAATATTATCTGAGTAACCGTGCCATGTTTCAACAAGCACCAGAAAATCCAAGCCTTCGAGTAATATTTCACGTACTACATCACTTTTTGATAGAATAGATCTTATATTTAACAGTCCCAACAACATCTGCGTCTTAATTCTTTTCATACTATTTGCATAATCTTTACAATCATTACCATAATCAATTTCGTCATTAGCGCCTCCGTTATTACCATTTTCATTTCCATCACTACTACCATCATCGTTAACGCCATAATCACTACTACTATTTCTACCATTATTATTATCATTACAAAAACATTTGATATTACCACTGAGTTTATTAACTATCATCCTTGATACGTCATCATTGATACCACAACCACGCTCATCACCATTGCTATCGCCAATGTTTTTACCATAATTTTCATCACCCCTATCATGGCTGTAACTACCATCATCACCTCTATCCTGACCATCATTGCAACCTAACATGCCACCAATATTATTACCAATACCAACATCACCATCACTACCATTACCACTGCCACCATCACCACCATCCCCGCAATTTCCGCCACCATGTCCACCATCCCTGTCATTTCGGCCACCATTACCTCCATTCCGACTATTATTACAACTAAACATACCACCAATATTCCTCCTGTTTCTGCCACCACCACCTCCATTTCGTCCATCACCACAATAAAATATGGTACCGATATTACATCCATCATCACAAATACCATCATTGCCGCCATTTCCGATATCATTAACACCATCATCACCAATATTCTCGCTATTTCTGCCACCATCACCTCCATCCCAACCATCATTACCACCAATCATGCTACCGATATCACAACCATCATCACCGTTATTTTTGTCGTTTGTGTAATCATCACGACCAACGCCATCATAACTACCATTCCTGCCATTTCCATCAACTCCATCCCGACCATCCATATAACCAACTATGTCACCAGTTTCACAACCATCATCGCCAACACCAGTTGTTATACCAGTTATTTTAAGACCCCACATGGATTTCATCATTTTCATAACAAATTTTAATATGAGCCTCACATCTTCAAATCCATTTAAAATGTCCATCACACTGCACCATAGAAAGTTCAAGACATCCTTTTTTTTATTCTTATTATTCTTAAGTTTCCTGGTCCCCCCCTCACTCTGTATACAAAATCCTCCTTTTCAGCAGCTTCTTTCTTCTTAGCAATTTCTATCCACTTTTCATATTCTGCCCGTTGCTCCCTTGTCAAGTCATGACTGATGCTGATTCCTTTCAAATCTTCATCCAACTTTTTCAGATTAGACAAGTTTTCCATGATTAAATTTTTTAAGACTTTAGAATTTAGTTGGACCAACAATGGTCTAATTTTATCCAATTTCTTGCCTAGCCTTTAGTTTTATTATACTTGATTTATCGATTTTATCATTAATTATTGTTTGCAAAATATGGGCAATTCTTTCAACATCTTGTCGTTTACCATCACTGAAACTCTGGTCATTACTTTCTTTTAATTTAAAAATTATTATGTTGCAAGATCTTTCTTCTGCCTCACTGAGGGATTTTATAGTATCTTTTGTTACCAAAAGTTCAATCTTTAACAATTGTATGCCATCATTTATATTCACCATTTTATCATTAGCATTAACAACGTTGTCAACAACAACACCTTTCAAAACATCAGAATATGACTTTTTCAAATCCTCTTGAAATGAATTCATTTTTCCCACAAGATCATCATTATTTTTATCAACCATGCCCTTCAACGCATCAGCAAACGATTTACTAAGATTGACTTTTAAAGCATCAGAATATGACTTTTTCAAATCCACTTGAAGTGCTTCCATTTTATTAACAAGAATATCATTATTTTTAGCAACCATATTCTTCAACGCTTCAGCGAATGACTTACTAAGATTATCTTGAAGTATACTCATTTTGCCATCAGTTGTTCTTTCATGAACCCTTGCCTTGATATCTTTAATCTGAGCGTTGATTGTGCTGTTGCAGTCCTGAATTTTCTTTATATCATCAGCTAAATCACTCAATTTCTTACAGGATTTAACAGTCTCAACTTGATCCTGACAACTGTCACAACTCCACAGAAAACCAGAGGCATTCTGAAATTCTTTAAATGATGAATCAGAAATTTCTGCACACTTGCAGTGCGTAACTGAATCGCAAAAACTACAGTGTATTCTTAGGCAAAATTTTACCACTACAAAACAAACATTTACCAGACATTAATACGATAAATATCCAGTTTCAATTCGTAAAACTTTATTAATGCACGAGTTTTGAAAAAACTTTTTTTAATTAGTATCCAACGAAACGTTTTTAAACCTCGTAAGTCTGAATTATTGAATTAAGTTTTTACAAACTACAAAACTTAATAACAACGCAGAACTAATTATAACTTGCAATACAGACAATACAGGTTCTAAACAACAATCCTATATCGCTTACAATACCAACTTTCTTAATTCGTCAATTAAACACTATTTAAATTTAAATAAAGTGAAAAACCTATAAATAAAAACAAAAATTAACTGTAATTAATTTACAAAAAAACATATCACTATATCCGTCAAAACTTCTTCTATAATATGAACCCAAATTTAGTTGAAATATTCGAATTTACATAGCAAAACTAGGAAAAATCGCGGAGCGAAAAGAATTACAACCGACTCAAACAACAGATAATATAAACTGAATGTAATGTAAGTTTTCAACATTGTGGTCCAAGATTTGTCTAGTTTTGTGTTTCTCTTTCATGTGATTCTTTATAGAGCCAGTTTGTACGTGCATCGTGGGTCTTCTTGATAACTAAGTCGTCGTCATACAAGTATATTCAGTTATGGTGCCCGCACTCACCAATATTGATGGACATGGGGAACCCATATATTGAGCTTCAAGGTTAAATCCAGCCCTTTCAGGTGACCAGAAATATTTTAGATGGCTATGATCCATTATCGGTTTTGGTCTACTAGTACAGTTGTTTTTAATCACAAGAGATGACGTTCTTTGGTTGGAGTAGAATAATTCGTAGTTTAACGAAAATGATTTCGTTGGTTGCTTGGACGTTATTTTTTATGATCCTTTTCATGATTTTTTCATCCCGTTCGAAAGCGGTGACATGTGATTCTTATAATATATTACTATGTTATTTTTGTTACTATTGTTGGTTGTATTGTTTTTGTTGCTGATTTTTTGTTCTTTGCGTCCTATTATTTTCTGGATCATGGAATTTTTATATCCATCATTAATGAGTAGTTTAGTGATTCTATCTAGTTCTGTTCTCTTGCTTCCTGTATCAGAAGAGTGCGTGTAGACTCGGTTTACAAAGGCAGAAATCGTGGTCTCTAGATATGTTTGACAACGTTCACTATTGCTATTGGGGCAGGTTGAAGCTGATAAAGACGCGATAAAGGAGGCATTGATTGATGCAAACCGGCGAATAACAAAACGTGAGATCTGTGAGAGGTTAAATTTATTAAATTCAACTGTTTCTGGTCACCTGAAAGGGCTGGATTTAACCTTGAAGCTCAATATATGGGTTCCCCATGTCCTCACGGAAAGATATTTGTGTCTCGTTGACGATTGTGCTTATGAGATAATGCCAGACCTCATACAACTCAAACGTCACGAAAATGATCCATTTTTGAAGCACATCATTACTGGGGTCGAAAAACGCAAGGGATCATGGAATAGAAAAGATAATCTGGCTCAAAGCATTTCATAAGCCGATATCCATTAAAAAATGTGATGCTGTTAGGTGGGATTTTAAGGGAGTCCCTTTTTTGAGTTTTTACCGGATAACACAACAATTATTTCGGAAGTCTTCTGTCATCAGCTAGACAAACTGAATGATACATTTCAACAGAAAAGGCTTGAATTAATCAATTGAAAAGGGTAGTGTTCATCCAAGATAATGCGAGACCTCATACAAATATATTACAACAAAAGCTTTTACAGTTTGGATGGAATGTACTGTCATGAATGTACTACCATATTTTCAAGTCACTGCAAAATTTTTTTGACGGTTAAACCTTTACCCCAATTGAACACGTCAAAAATCAGTTTTTTTGCGAGCAAAGGCCAAAAACTTTATGAGCGGAGGAATCATACTATTATCAGAAAGACGGCGAAGAGTGTTGGATCAGAACGGCTAATATATAATTTAATTAAATATTCATTCATTATACAAAGATCGTCGTTTATTTTCACCAAAAAAAAACAACCTGATTTAAACGTCTTTCTTCATTTCAATCGCTCGTTCGCTTTATCATTCGTAGCACAAAGTGTCACAATTGACGACAAAACCACATTGGATTTTTGGAATAACAAATTTCTAATGTTCAAATAATAAAATGATATTTAAATAATTATAAATATTCATAACTATTAATATAAATTAAAATAAAACAAGAAACAAAATACTAATTGGGCAAGAATTGTTAAACTATATGAGAAAAAAAGTGCAATAAACTAATTTCGTATAATCATATTTCTACATAATGTTATCCCAATAATATAAATTCATTCAATCTCACTCATTCACACATTCATATAAATTATAAAAATATAAACTATTCTGGAATGGTCAAAAGACGGCCAATAATGATGTTAAAATTTTTGTCAAAGAACCGCTAGTCGAAGAAGAACTGGATATTGCAAAAGGATTAATTGACGTCTCGTGTAGATCAAGATTCGCCTAGTGAAGCAAACTATATATTTTTTCTGCCGACACACCACAGACAGGCGAATCAAAAGAGATGAAAAATGACTTCTGGGCTGCGATCTCAATGGCCACGTTGGAGAGAAAACAGATGGTTTTGACAACGTACATGGCGGTTTTGGCTATGGAGAACGGAATGAAGATGGCAACCGCATCCTTGAGTTTGCTGAAAGTCACGGGTTTTGTTTACTGAAAACATATTTTAGAAAGAGGTTGGAACATCTCATAACATACAAAAGTGAGCCATCAGACACGCGAATTGATTTCTCCGCTGTCAAACAACAACAACAACACCGAAGACTATTCAAAATGCCAAAATTATACCTGGCAAATCATGTGTCGCCCAACATAGACTCCTTGTGGCAGACCTGTTTCTCGAACTAAGTCTAAGTCTAAACAAACGCCTCAGAGAATCAAAACGTGAAAAAGCAATATTCATCGAAAAAAATTTCAACAGATTGTCGCAACACAGTTAGACCACCAATCGCAAGCCAGTACAGATTGGAGTACATACAAAACCGTTTTGATACACGTTGCAACTACATTTTGTGGGAAAACTGGTACAAAACGTCAGCATGAACGAGACACTTGGGGGGGAATGACAGAGTACAAAATGCAATAGTTAAAAAGAAAGCTGCATACAAGCAATGGCAATGGCAAAAATCAAAGGCTGTTGATGACCCTAAAATCAACATGGCGGTTTTGGCTATGGAGAACGGAATGAAGATGGCAACCGCATTTTTGAGTTTGCTGAAAGTCACGGGTTTTGTTTACTGAAAACATAACATACAAAAGTGGACCATCAGCTACGCAAATTGATTTCTTCGTCGTCAAGCAACAACACCGAACAAAAAATGTCAAAGTTATACCTGGCGAATCATGGGTCGCACAACATAGACTGCTTGTGGCAGACCTGGTTGTCAAACTGTCTCAACATAACTCTAAACAAATGACTCGGAGAATCAAAACGTGGACGCTGAAAAGCAATATTCATCGAGAAAAATTGTTGCCACACAGACCACCAATCGCAAGCCAGTACAGATTGGAGTACATAAAAAACCGTTCTGAAATCTGGTACAAAACGTCAGCATGAACGGGACACATGGTGGTGGAATGACAGTGTACAAAATGCAATAGCTGAAAAGAAAGCTGCATAAAAGCAATGGCAAAAATCAAAGTTTGATGATGGCCGTAAAATTCTGAAAAGAATAACTATGCAAGAGTTGAGTCGCACTGGCTCGGACAGATCAATGCAGAGGGTAGCTCACTAAAAGCAAATGCAGAGAATGGCTCACTAAAAGCAAAGGTGAACAAATGAAATCTCTGTATCTGTAGAAAAACAAGCAAAGCGTACGAAAAAAGACATAGTTGGTGCCTCATGTATCAAAAACGACAAAAATGAGATGGTTCTTGAACAAGATGAGATCAAACTACAGTGGAGAGAATATTTCAACCGTCTGTTAATTGAAACAAATTCCATCAGTGTCAACTTTGACGCTCCACCCATCGAAGGTCCGATAGCAGACATCAATGTATAGAAGCTCTGAAAGCTATGAAGGATGGAAAGGCAGCAGGACTCACAAATGACATCAAAACATCTGGTACTGCAGGTATCCAAACGTTACTACAACTTTGCAGTGAAGTGTGTAGAAATTGCTCAATGCCGACCGAATAGAACTATAGCATGACAGTTGCATAGGCAAAAGGCAAAGGTGATCCATTGAACTGTATGCGTCTGTTAGAACACTCCCTGAAAATTGTCGAAAAAATCATTGAGAGAAGATTAACGTCGTGCATCACAATCGGAAATTATCAATTTGGTTTTCTAGCGGGGAAATCAACAATTGATGCAATTCACATCCCTCAGCAACAGCAAGAGAAGTAACTCGGAAAGCATCAACAACTATCACACATTTTTGTAGACCTTGAAAAAGTTCCCCGTAAAGCAATCAGGTGTACGAATACTAAGACTCGTTAGCACAACGGTTTGAAACACAGATGCATTTGACATCGGCGTTGAAGTTCACCAAAGCTCGATTCTCAGTCCACTGTTATTTCTAACTGATGGAAGAAATGACAAAACTGATATGCACCGGTGACATTTGGAATCTAATATATGCTGATGATATCGTCAACAGCCTCGTCTGAGCAGAATGCAGCTCAGATGTTTGAAGATTGGAACACCAGATTTGCCGATCATGGATTCAAAGTCAACATCAGTAAAACCAAAGCAATGAACACTGGTGTTCAGTTTGTAAAGCTGGTGTAGGTAACAATTCAATCAAGTGTCAGCAGTGTAACAAACGTTGTTCAAAAATAATTGGTACTTTATCTAAAGTGTCCAATTTTGTTTGTTTTGCTTGCACCATTCAACAACAAATAATACGAAATAGCAATGTTTTTGAAGCAATTAAAGTAGAAACAGTACTATCGTTTTTCTATCTAGGGGACGTTCTGGATTGTACTGGAACAGTTGAAGCTGCCGTTCGAGCACTCATACGTGCAGACTGGAACAGTTGAAGCTGCCGTTCGAGCACTCATACGTGCAGCCTGGAATAAATGGCATCTCCTTGCCTCTATATTGAAGCGGCGTGACATCGCACTACCACTACGATCAAAACTTTATAAATCTGTGATTCTTCCGTTTTTGTTATATGGTGCAGAAACATTGCCAATGGCAACCAAACTTGAACAACAACTTTAACGAACCGACATGAAAATGCTTCGATGGATGCAACGAATTAGTCGGAAGGACCACATCAAATCTACCGAAATCCTGCGTCGTGCTGGTTTATATGATATAAAGGACGAATGCCGGCAACACCGTCTGAGGTGGTTTGGTCATGTTCAACGAAGTGGAAGCAGTGCTATAACTTCTCTTGCAGATGTTGAAGTACCTGGCACACGTCCCAAACGCCGTCCAAAGAAGTCCTGGTCGCAAACAATCGAGCAAGACATGAAAGCTCTAAATTTAAATGAAATGGATTCGACTGATCGTATAATTTGGCGCAAAAATTTGATGGCAAGGAAAACAACGTCTTACCTCGGGGAAATGGGTCTCTAGACGCTTAACGAAAATTGATTAATTTACACTTTCATATAAAATAATTCAAATAAACAAATTTTGTTTAATCATATTTCCATATAACGTTAGACCTGAATCTCTTTCGAACTCATTCACATTTTTACATAAAATAGCACATTCTGGCCAATTATTAAACGAATTTTTTACTAAAATTTTTTTTTTTATGTTCATTTTAAACTTGTTTGTAACTTAAATTTGTGTCTTCTTATAAAACAATATCCTGGTTTGTTGATCTTCGGTATCCAATCCTTTATTCCATCATTGATACTTGATTATTCATTGATTAAGCAACTGACAATCTTCGATCTGTCTTCGTATGACATATTTTTGCAGCCTTTAATTAGTTTTAAGGCTGAAAAATATGTCATTGAATATGTTCAATGGCATCAATTTTATTTTTTGCGTATGGCATCCAAGTATTAACAGCATACTCAAGTTGTGGTCATACCAAAGTTTTATATATCAAATTGGGTTTACACAACAAAAAATCAAAATTTAATTAATTTAATTAAACCCAGTGTAGAATTAACTTTTACAACTAGTTTAGTTGAATTTATTGCCAAACACAACCCTTAAATCTAGAACATTATCTGTTATTACCAATCCTGAACTAAATAATCAAATGAAAAACTTTTCAACCCTTACGGATCTGAACTACATTACATTTATTAACATTTAATTTCATTTTCCACAAATCACACCAAACAACTAACTTATCTAAACAATCTTGCAACAAAATTTGATCATCAAGTGATTTAACAACAGTAAAAAGTTTAGCATCATCAGCATATCAATCATACCATCACACATTTCAAATATATTATTTATAATAAACAAGACAGTTTCCAAGACACTGCCTTGTGGGACACCATTCAACACATCAAAACATTCAGAATGTTCACCATTCCCACGAACTAAAAATTTTCTATTAAGATATTCCTTAATCCAATTTAATACACTAATATTCAAACCATACATACTCAGCTTCAAAATTAATTTTTCACGATTAACCTTGTCAAATGCTTTTTCAAACTCCGTGTATAGTACATCAATTTCACAACCCATATCAACTGCCTCAGATCGTACATCCATTAATTTTATTAACAAAATTTTTATTTTATTTTTAGGAACACAAATCAATTAAGAAATTTCCAAAAGCAAAAGAATATACTGGGCCAGAAGAAAGTTTGATGCATGAACAATGTGATATTTTCATTCCAGCTGCAATTGAAAAAAGCATCACAAAACATACTGCCAAAAAAATAAAGGCCAAAGTAGCTACTCGTTATAAATTGAATTTATTAAATATTTTATAAAGCTATTATATTACGCGAGCTGGACCTTAATATTAGATTGATTAAATTGGGTTCAAAGCCACTTTTTCATGTTTGAAAATTGCAGAGTTTCTTATTGCTTCACTTAACGTTGCTACAAATTCATTCACTATGCTGTTTATCACCATAAATGCATGTTGCATCTGTGGATAAATACTACATACCTAAATATTACGCCGAAACATGGTCACAGCATAACGGCTTATTAAGTAATTTTTTTACAGCCTCAACGCTAGTAGACCGTATATCGCAATTAATCATAACTGAAACTCAAATTATATATATTCAAGATCCTTAAAAGAAGAATTATTAAGAAAACTTGACGTGTTTGTAACGTCAAGAACCTTAAGTATAAAACCCAGAAAAACTACTGGAAACTTGTAAAAAGACCTCAAAAAATGCAGGGTATAGAACTGAAGTAAACTGTAAATCTGATGTATTCTGGCTTCCTACTGGGTAAAGTAATTTCGAGGTAACTTGGTTAATCTTTATTAAATGAAAGCTTGGAAGTAAGGGTTGGGTCTTATCAAGAGACATCAACAGGTATAGTCTTTTGTCTTGTATTCAATATTTTTCGTGAAAATATGGGTTTTTGGTAATATGATATTGCAAAATCGATAAAGTGAAACATAAACTTTATTTAAAAAAAGTATAAACAATAGAATATTTAATTATAACGTTGGTTAAAGTTAAAGATTGAAAATTTTGCAAAAATGTAACAATTGAAAAAGCAGTTCAAGGTAAATGAAATAGAAAAAGAGAAAAAAGTAAAAGACGAGAGGGCACAGTTTGTTTTAATAACAAGCAAAAAAGTTTATAATAAAATAAAGCCTAAGGTGAATAAAATTGCAAAACATGAAAAAGTCTTGCTTTAAAGACGAATTTTACGCGGATTCAATAGCCCTAAAAACTTGAGAGGTTTATTCTGGAATAAAATTTATTTAAAAATCAAACTATCTGATCTGAAAATATCGACGTAATTGTGAGATGACTCATGACAGTCTGAGAGCGCGTTGAAAACGATGATTGTAATGCGAATAATATGAATGGTGACCATTTATCATACTTTCCAGTTGATAGCTGAAGCCGCAAACGGCCCAACGACATTGGCTGCAGATAAAGTTCTCAGAGAAAAAAATGTTCTTGTCATTCCTGTTAGTAGTTTATACTAATAAATTTTGCCGACTTTTTCACCAAATTATTTTTTTAAAGGATTTATATGTTAATGCTGGTGGTGTAACAGTTTCATACTTTGAATGGCTTAAGAACCTTAATCACGTTAGTTATGGACGACTTACTTTCAAGTATGAAAGGGATTCTAACTATTATCTCCTTGGTTAGAAAATACAAATTATATTAGATCAAGTTATTTTTCTACAAATGAAAAAACTTTGATAGAAGTTTCAAATACAACTGTTAATATGTTTCTATGATTCACCCATCATCAGTTTGTTGTACACATATTAAATAGTATGGATAAAAAATTAAAAATAGTTTCGTTATCTATTTCTGTAAAAACTATGTTTCAACCTAGATATAACCTACTTAAAAATGTCTGATCCATACGTAAACATCGAGTAACTTCTTGAAATTTGCTTCCAACTGGTTTCGAGTCCATTGGTCTAATAGTTTTTCTCAAACGTTATTTTTAGTCTAGAATAAGTCTCTACTTTTTTTCAAACGAGTTCTTAGGTTCTAAACCTTTTATTAAATCATTTCCCCCTATTCTTCCATTCAATCAATCTTCGTTTATAGTCTCCATCCGTTATGGGTCAGACTTTTTATTCCATTCATCAGTTTCCGTCTCCAAGCCAATCTTTCCATTGCGTATGTCTTCTTGAGACCAAGTATTTTCAAGTCCTCCTGTATGGTCTGCGTCCAGGACTTTATTGGGCGGGTGCCAGGCACCTGGTGTTCAGTAACAGAAGTTATTGTATCGTTTTGTTTCGCTTCACATGGCCAAACCATCGTAGGCGATGACGACGATATGCATCCTTCAACATGCACAGTTCCGATCGTTTCAGGGTCTCGTTGTAAGGATATCGTCCCTTAGGATTTGAACATGCTGCATCCAACAAATTATCTTCATGTCAGTTCAGTTCTGCGCCATACATCAGAACAGAACGCAAAGCTGTGTTGTATAGCTCTGAGCGCAGCGGCAAAGGAATGCTACGCCGCATCAGTACCGAGGCAAGGAGGTGCCACGCCGCACGTATGCATCCACAAACGACGGCATCAGCTGTTCCAGTACAATCCAACATATCTCCCAAATAATGAAATGAAGTAACCGTTTCGATTCCGGTAATCGTATCATTATCTGGGCTCCGTTGTCACGGGTTGATGCAGGCGGGGCATACGAAATCAGTCACTTTTCTCAGCTTCGTTTGTGACACCAGTGCTGACATTGTAAGCATTTGATCGAGTTGCTTCCAACTCAGCCCCACACACCGAACGATATCATCTGCATATATTACGTTCCACGTGTTATCTGAGCGTATCGGCTTGGTTATTTTTTCAATCACCGTAATGAAGAGCAGGGGGCTGAGTATTGATCCCTGGTGGACGCCGACGTTAATATCAAATTCATTCTTGCTGACCAGAGTTTTTGTGTTAGAGTACGTTGCCATAACCAGCCGAACCATATATTCGGAAACAAGCTGTCTACGTGGACTCCACCTGATTGCCTAATGAGGCACTCTGTCAAAAGTCTTTTCCAAGTCCACAAATACATGGAACAGTCACTTTTGCTTTGCCAAATATTTTTCCTGTAGTTTACGAATGATATAGATAGCATCAGTGGTGGATCTCCCTGCCGTGAAGCCGTACTGATAACCACCTATTGAAACGCACAACAGTCTTCTCTCAATGACTTTTTAATAACTTTCCAGAAGACGTATATCACCATATGAGGAGCATTTCAGTAGGTGGTCTCCATTTCCTTAATATATCGACACAGTGTGATACTGTTCCATTCCACTGGTAATATCGATTTTCTACACATCTCCCGACAGATGTGTAAGAGGGCTCGAAAGCGTGCCCCACCATCTGCCTTGATGATATCATTTGTTGGTCCAGACGGACAAGCCGCTTAACCCCCTTCAATTTTTTCAGCGCATCTGTAAGCTCTTCAGCTATCATGCTCTGAATCGGTCCTTTCACCGGAAGTGCATCAAAGTCCTTTCTAATCGGGTTTATTTCATTCAATAACTGATCGAAGTAATCTTTTCAGTGATCCATCACTTCATTCTGCAAGGTTATTATGGTGCCTTTATTATTCTTTATGCATGTGGCACCAACTATATCCTTTTTCAGTCTTTTGGCCTAGTTTGCTATTCCGATTTTGATCTGAATTTGTTCGCCTTTACTTCCAGTCAGCCATACTTTGCATTGAATTGCACGAGCGATCGCAACCTGATATTTTGTTTCTGTGTTCTTTGATCGGTATGTCTTCGTCTTTGTGATGGCAGAGATTAATTTGGGGGAAAATTTTTACATCCGGACACCCATCCTGACGACAACCGCCAGTTATAAGCGGTGGGCCTAGCCTTTTGCTTAAAAGCACGCAAAGCACCGCGGATGCAGTTTTATGTCATGCCCAGGTCACGTCCAAGCAGAATGCAGCACAGATGTTTGAAGATTGGAACACCAGACATTGAATGGGTTCACCAGTGTTCATTGCTTTGGTTTTGCTGATGTTGACTTTGAATCCATGATCGGCGAATCTGGTGCTCCAATCTTCAAACATCTGTGCTGCATTCTGCTATGGCTGTTAAAACGAATTCATCAGCATATATTAGATTTGAAATGTCACCAGTGCGTATCGGTTTTGTGATTTCTTCCATCACAGTTATAAATAACAATGAACTGATAATCGAGCCTTACAAAGGCAAAGACGATCCATTGAACTGTTCATCATATCGGAGTATACGTCTGTTAGAACACTCTGAAAATTGTCGAGAAAATCATTGAGAGAAGATTAACGTCGTGCGTCACAATCGGAAATTATCAATTTGGTTTCCTAGCTGGGAAATAAACAATTGATGCAATTCACATCATTCGGCAACTGCAAGAGAAGTACCTCGCAAAGCATCAACAACTATAACACAAGACCTTGAAAAAGCATTTGATCGAGTTCCCTGTAAAGCAATCAGGTAGAGTCTACGTCGACAACTCATTCCAGAATATCTTGTTCGACTTGGGATGGAAATGTATATGAATACTAAGAACGCCGATGTCAAAGAACTGTCATGTTATAGTTCCATTCAGTCGACATTGAGCAATTTCTCCATACTTCACGGTTTAGATACCTGCAGCACCAGATGCTTTGATAATGTCATTTGTGAGTCCAGAGGGCCCTGCTGCCTTTCCATCCTTCATAGCTTTCAGAGCTTCTGTAAGCTCCTCTACAGTGATGTATGGAATCGGACCTTCGATGGGTGGAGCGTCAAAGTTGACATTGATGGAGTTTGTTTCATTTAACAGACGGTTGAAGTATTTAGTAAAATATGTGTTCAGTAAACAAAACCCGTGACTTTCAGCAAAGTCAAGGATGCGGTTGCCATCTTCATTCCGTTCTCCATAGCCAAAACCGCCACGTACGTTGTCAAAACCATCTGTTTTCTTTCCAACGTGGCTATTGAGATCGCCTCCAATCAGGATTGTTTCAGATTTTGGTATTGATGAGATCGTGTCAGAGAACTGCCCAGAAGTCATTTTTCATTTCTTCTGATTCGCCTGTCTGTGGTGCGTATGCAGAAAAGATAGTCATTGTTTGCTTTTCTAGGCGAATCTTGATCCACATGAGACTTGAGTTGATCCTTTTATTATCCAGTACTTCTTAGGCTAGCGGTTCTCTGATAAAAATTCTTACACTATTTTTGGCCGTCTTTTGACCATTCCAAAATAAGCGATGGATTATCTTGTTTTTTATTTTATTTGTTATTACTAAAACCACCGTACTACAAATCTTTTGACAAATTTTAATATTAGTATAATTAGATGATTTAATAAAGCTTATCATTAAAATGTCGACAAATTAATATCAAACTAAATAATCAAACAATAATTCTTATTCATATTTATCTATTTTGATAATATTGTTGTTATAGATATTATTATTGTTATTATTACACTGGTATGCATTTAAAAAAAAATTATAGATGTCTCAAATATTTTAATGGTTCTAACATAATTTGAACACGCTGATTTCAAATATGTAACTGAAATGTTTCTATTACGTCAGAATTTTTCACAGATTCAATTTTAACATCTTATTTTTCACTGATTTTCAACTTTCTATCTTTCTATTTTACAATTATTCACAAAATGATTTGTTCTAAATAATATTTAGTTAATTTTTTGTCCAAAAATTTAATAAAATGTAATGTACATAAAGAATAAAACTTCAAATTAAGGACAAAAACTTCTTGATTTTTTTCGCTCATTCTTTAGCCGTCAAATTCTCTCTTTTAGGTTATCCATATTAACATTCCATCGTCCTTGATATATGATTTTCATTGTTTTAATGTCTTGGTGAAACCTTTCACCCATTTCTTCACTATAATCGCCAAGACTTTCCGGAAAATAATCCAAATGTGAAAACAAAAAGTGAGTTTTAAGGCTCATTAGACATCCTAGTTTTTGGAATGCAAAAAGCTTTTCATTAACAATTACTTCGTTTTTTGTTGCCCTCTTGTTCCAAAGAAATTCGTGGATCACAGCTCTATAACTGGTCAATGCATTCAATTCCAATTCATTCATGATTTTAAAAAATTCATTATTGATTTTAGGAAATTTGGTACAAATATATGCAAAACACTTACTTTCTTCGTCCAGCGCTTTCTTGCTTACTTTCTTCAATCCAAGTTTAATATGAAGAAGAGGCAGGAGTATTCTATTTGGTTCAACCAACTTGAAAAATTTAATATTTTTTATACCTGGTTGAAAATTCGTTTGTGATGGCCAATATTTTTTCTCCAGTGATCTTTATCTGCCCTGCTATCCCACTCATATATAAAACATGGAAGTTTAGTATAGCTTCCTTGCTGGCATAGTAGAATTCCAATTATTTTGAGATCACCACATTATCCACTTATGCTCATCGTACTTGATGTTTTGAAGAAGCACCGCCATGTAATGTTTCTTTCAATTGAGTAAAACATGCGATTGGCACAGATGCATAAATATTTCCATTATGCAAAAGTACTGCTTTGAGACTACGTTTGAAAAAGTCATTAAAAATTCTCCATAACTCCCAACTCAGTAATCAATCCAGGTATATTTGAACTACACACAAGGGAATTGATTCATCATTTGGCAAACTTTTGCTATATCAATTGGTATCGGAACAGTAAGGTCATCTCCATAAGGTACTGATCTCAATGCTGAAGGCAAATTAATTAATAAGTACTTCTTTGATGCTTTGTTTGATAAAGTCAATACAAATTTTCTATTCATTGGCAGCATACCTTATTCCCAACTCAGTATTTGAACAATACACAAATTCTGCTTCACGATTTCTTTACCATGAAAAAGTTGTTTCAGGCTCTAGCAAATTCTTAGCCTTTAAACGTGATCCCAGTGATAATTGATAAATTCAAATCTCGAACAAGGCCGTTTTATTCAGCCTAAGAAAAATGCTCCTCTAGAATTTGAATTGCTAAGTGAAAAATTGTCTTTATCAGTTTCAACAATATCGTTATAACTTGATTCATCATTCGGCAAACCTTCTGGAAATGTCAATTGGTATCGGTACTGGTTTCAATGCTGAAGGTAAATTGGGATATGATAAATCTTTTTTATTCTTGTTAAAACCTTTGGTGTTTGCCATGCGGAAGCGACAATCGTCTGTGTGATTTTTGGGTTCACGCCAAATCATTGGAATTTCAAAACTTAAATATGTTTTTAAACCTTTGCTCCAACTTCTTAGTCCTTCTACACATGTACTGCCCATGGTTTATCTTGATCGCCTAATTTTATTTTAAAATATGCGTGATAAATTTTTTTCTCAAGTCCATTGATGGACTGCCTTTGCTTCTGAGGCATTTATCTTCCTCAAATATAACAAAATGAATTTGGGGAATTCAAACAACATTTTCTGAAACTCGAATTAGTAGCCATGTTAAATCAAATGAAAAAGCGAAAACAATACAATAATTTCCGTTACTGAGCACCAAGTGCCTGTTAAACAGCGCAATTAAACCTTTCTGTTTTTTGCTATTAATAAATATTTTGTTCATATTTCGCATATTAATTACGTTACATTTATTAGAAAGTGTTCAACAGTCATTGGAAAAAACATTTGGGAAAACAGGAGGTACTATAAGTATTACTCCCAGCGAGTCGTTTCTTAAAAGGATGGGGGTAAATTTATTTAGTTTTATCCATTTGTTTGTTTGTTTATTTAGTTAGTTTTTAAATATTTTCACTTAAAATTCTAGTAAAATATTTGACAAAGCATTGGCAGTTTTTTATTTATTCACTAGAATTTTTCCTTTACGTGGTTGCATACTTTTTTATTGATTAAATCTTCAACCCTTTTTTATGGTTCCTACTTTTTCTTTGTTATTCATCTTGCCTATTTTCAAAACCATTCTGCTCACTCAGAGATAGACCGCGATCACTTGTTAGAAGTGTTTTTTTCGACTCCTATAAATTTATAATGCATTTTTTAAATCAGTATGTAAAACAGGTGATTAAATATTTTGTCATACGTTCATTTTGTCTAATGTTCATTTTTCTGTTATTCGCCTCTTGGTTTCAATGTATATCAGCTTTTTTTTGTTGAGAAAAAACTGGTGCGAAAAAACTAGTATTTGAATTTTTAATAGCGATGGGATTTGATACGTTTCAAGAAAAGCCCAAAAAATTTCTTCAGAATGATTGACTGCAACTATAAAGCATCCAACGAATGTGCTTGTATATGATATGTTATGTATGCATATCCATACTCTACTACCTCCAATCAATACTACTACACAACCTTTGTCAACGCATCAAGCATCAAGTCCACTCAATCAACATATCAGGATAAGACCTTCATCACAAAACACCTTAAATATATTATGACTCAATAAAACTTTGTCATTAATTCAATTTTGTCTATTCTTTTTTTTATCTATCACTAAACTTTTTTAAAGAATAATAACAAATATGACATTAAATAGACGAAGAATCTTAAATGCACTTTCAACGCATTCAGATACATCACGGATTCTTATAATTCTAAATTTTTTAATTAAAAAATGAAATTCATAAATTTATGTTTGTATGATTTTTTCAACTGATTCAATAAGTACATGTTAAAAATGTTAAAAATACTTAAAACTACATCTTATAACAAAAAACATCGGATATTTGTGACAAAATAATGTGTAAAACCGATAAATTTGAAAATATTAAGTGTTAACACAATTTTAGCCACTATCAATCTAAATAATGTATTAGTTTTTCATTGTGAAATTTTAGCTACTAAAGAAATTACAATCAAACAAATGAATTTTTTAAGGGTGCCTCTGAAAAAGATATAGTTCATTCAGGTCTAGCTCAAACAATGGAAAATTCAGCAGTTGTGAGTTTTTAATATTTGCAGTTTTAAAATATTAATTTGAAAATATTTTCAACAGTTCAATTTACTTTTTTGCTGAAACTTTTTATTTTTGACCCTTTAGTTGACCGAAATTTCGAAAAAAAACAAAACAACTTTTTTATCTTTTTTCATTTAAAATCAATAGGCATATCTCTTTAACTACTCGTAAGATATGGACCCGCACATACGCTCTGGTTTTTGCCCAGGCCTAGGTTTTGCAGTTATATAAACTTTGAAAATTGTGCATTCAAGTGGGCTGCGCGTGTAATAAGCCCGGTCTGAGCTAGTTCTGATTTTCTCTAGATTTGGCTTGAGTAAAACTACACAGTTTAAAACAAATTTTATCACTACTACATTTTTATTGCTAGCCTGATGTTAGCTACACAACACAATTTATTTTATTTCAAAAATATTTTTTGTACCTAAATGGATAAACAAAAAGAGTTTGTTCCGTATAAAAGTCAATTCTCGTGCTGATTGACTCAAAACATTATAATAAATAAAATAAAAATTTCACTGAACAAAGTACAATTTTGTTTTTTGAGCGCACGAAAATACTGAATACATTTTTTACTGCCTAGGTACGGTCCCAACAAAACTTATGAAAAACTTTACAAAAGTATGCCGCGTTTGTTGGCAAAAATACGTTCAGGCAAACTCGCGCGTACTTGATTGAAACCTGGGCTAAAACCGCAGTCTGCTTAAGTCTTTTTGTAGTTAACTGCCAATTAGCTACGGGCTAAAATTGTTCTTAAAATTATCGCTATGTTTTTCGTTATTAATTTATATTACGAAATTGTATTTTCGTCTGATAAAAAGTGAATCTATATGCTGTTGTTCAAAAGTTGTTTTGATCGTTAATGTACAAAAGTTTAAACGAGGTCTTGAAAAGTGGCTAAAAATGGCCAAGTTGTTTAAATAATGTGTTTTTACAAACCGTGCACATCTGTTGCAAACTGTTGTTTTAAAAAAAACTTTGGGAACTCTAAGACAGTTTAAAAATTTTTGAATTATTAATAATTTATAATTAAATTAATAATTTAAATTATTGTTTCATTCGCTGGGGCAATTTTCACACGCAAAAAATAATGCTTTTTATGTGTTGCCGCCTGTTATGTGTGTGCTTGTTATGTGTTGTCGCCATCCCGTAAATTATGTAAATTAAAAAAAATTATGAAAAAATTAATTATGTGGAGAAAAATTAATATAAGCTAAGTGAAAAAAATATAAATTAATTATAACATAGAAAATAAATTATAACAAAAATAAAATTTTTTGGAAATTTCAAGCCATTAAAACGTTCAACAAAAGAAAAAATATTTTGTGAGAAAAATTTTGTTTAACTTCACCGGTGCTTTTGTAATTTAAATATGTACTATATGCCTTTTCTTATTAATTTGTCATAAAAAAATTCTTATTTGTTTTACGAATAGGGAAGCTCCATAAAATTTCATTTTAATTTGATTTTTTGTTATTTTAATCAATACCTTAACTTTTCTTCAAGCAAATAATGCAAAAAGCAAAGGAGTTTGACCTTGGTCTTGATATAAGAACTGCTGCTTATATTAGTTCAGTGTCAAAAATATTCCACTGTTATGATGAAGCTGGACTAACTTTTACTTGAAACAACGATAACGATGTCAATTGACATAATTCATTACATAAAATTGTTTTGTTAACACGGGACTTTTATGTTTATCTGTTAGCCATAATGCATAATTGCAATTAATTTTCTAAATATTTCATGTTTTAAATTTGTAAATTTTTTGAACTTGTTTCACTTAATTTTGAATCATTTAAATTTTTTACATATTTTTACAATGATGGATTTGTCCTTTTTCATTTTAATGCCTCGTTAAATTTAGTCAATTCATTGTAACCGTTCCACTCAGTTGGTAAAAGCTCAAACAAAATGATGGTTTCAAGTCGGTTTTATTACTCATAAAACAATATGTCTATGAGAGATAGGTCTAAAACGTTAAATGTTAATTTATATAGTTAAAAAGATTTAAAATAGAAAAGCAAAGGATTTTTCTCTTCTCTTAATTTTCGAATTTTAATTTTTTTAGTCAGATTTTTTTTTATACATATTTTTCTGCTTCATAAATTGTCTTAGAGGATCTTGATTTCCATCTTTATTTTCAACTGATGTTCGCTCTAAGCTCTTTGATTATCCGTTTTTTTCACGCATTTCATTTGAGCGGTACGCTGTGACGGTGAAAATACTGTAATGCTACTGGTTGACTTCAGCTAACTGTGTATTTTGAGGTGACTGCTTAAAACATAATATAACAAAACGAAAAACAGACCAATGTCACTTTTCTACACTTTTAAAGCAACGTCTTGCAGAAGAGGCAATGAAAATGTAAAAAATAAAGAAATAATGCGACTTGTTTTTGGCGTATGTTATTGTTGCCGCTTCAAACGATTTCCGTCCTGAGCCAGTCAGCAACCGTCGTCGAGTTTCGCTACAGGTCTATTGTCGTGAGAACCGTAGGATTTGCTGGGCAGCTGAAAAAATGAGGAACGTTGAACGGCAAAAAGGGCAGTTGGTGTCTATGCCGCTGTTGATCCATCCGTTGTTGCTACAATGATACAATGGCCAGATTGAAGTTGAGCCAAAGTCTGTCTTGTTGCTCTTAGCCATCTATTGAAGGCATGGTATGATTCAGTGGCGGACTTGGCAGCCATGACATGTAGTGAACTTAAAGCTGCTTTTAGTGTAGCACGGCTTTCGAACATCGGCATGTTGAGGTTCATTTCGACGTCACGTAGTTTTCATTTCCCGAGATGGATGTTCTTGGGTCACGAGAGCATGGCATGGATGTTGAGGGCTGTAGCATTCTGCGAGGAATTGTGAGGAGAGGAGACTTGTATATTGTCTGATCCATTTCGCCAACGGCGTAGGTTTCTGATTTGATGTCCGTTGTAGACTCGTTAGATTTATCGATTCTGACGATATTCAGATCTACAGTGCTGGTTTTTTATTTTAAGTTGATGCTGTGTCTTCAAAAATTGTTGATTATATTAAATGCAGGCTGGTTGAAATCTAATCGCATTCTTTTTAATCTGAATGGTTGAGGTTTGGCTCTAAGAGGGACTTTTTAAAATTAACTTATGGGAGACAAATGTGTTATCACTTTTAAGGCTTATAAAAGATAAATATGAAGATAAATTTTAAAAATTAACTTGAGGTCTGGTTGGATCTGATATAAAAGTGTCTCTTTTGTTAGAAATTTGGGTTTTATTATTGATTTAAATCTTTTAAATTGTTTGGTGCATATATTGTTAATTTTTTGTTTTTCTACTTAAGATTTTGAAATTACTTAAAAGGTATTAACTCATGATGTGGTTCACCGACTGGTTGTTTTCATTTCAACACGTTTACACTATTGTAATTCCTTGCTCTACTCTGTCAATCATGAAGTGGTTCGATCTATTCAGTTAGTTTGATCATATTCCTGAATGACTTAAATCTTTTCGTTGGATTTTTGTTACGCAACAAATTATATATAAAATTATGTTTTAATGGCATTTGTTTGTCCTAATTGTAGTCTGTTTGTAAATCTGTTTGTAAATCTGTTTGTTTACTAACATAAAGGCTGTCCTTTAGGTCTTTCCCTGATGGATTGTTATTAAAACCGAGGACTAGATCGTTTTTTGTAGTTTGAAATTTCTTTGTTTCTGCATCTTTCGTATGGAACTCTTTACCGTATAAGTTTCGTTTTTTAAAATCTCTAATTGCTTTTCGTTATATTAAATTCTTTTTTTAACAAGCTTATTTTATTGTGTTAAAAAAAGTAGAGTTGTTGATGCAATTGAAAGAATTGGGCACATCACCCCGGTGAATATGGCCAAAAAGATAGATATTGCGAATGTTCTTGCCTAATTTTGATTTGTAGCTATTGACAATACCAGCCATTAATAAGAAAAACCTGAGTAAGTTGGCTGGTATTTGAATGGTGTAGCTGAATACTCCAGTGAAAAAAAACCAGCAGGGCGTCGTTCACATGAAGTGGTGTTATTATGGTAGTTATTATTGGTTATTATTGTTGTAGTTATTATTGGTTGTCATTACTAGTGTTTTATTCTCTTCTTAAATTTTATTACTTTATTTTTTATATGTTTATGGCTAGCTTGTTTTGTTTATGAATTTTGCTTGTGTTATCTGGTCAGTTTTGTCACCGAGTTAGCTCTGTCGGTAAAAGTTCCATGTCTCACGCTGCTATTACGCGATGGCATGGTTCGAATACTGTCTGTCCGTCGTACCCGTATGAAGCTGTGCTTGCGCGTGCATACATAATGTGTATGTGCATCGTTTGGTGTGTATAGCGTACAGCCTTTGTGGCACGAAAGTTTAATTCTAAGTATAGAATAACATGTAAGCAGTTTGACAGAGTTGCATTATAAAGAATAAAAAAATTTTGATACATAGTAAACTGTTTTATACAATGTTGTATTAATTATAATTATCCTCTGAGAAATGTTCAGGATTAAATTTGAATAAATAAATGAATAAATTACTGATATTGTCAGCAAGTTAGCTCAGTCGGTAGAAGTGCCATGTCTCGTGCAGTTATGTGATGGCCTAGTCCGAATAGTGTCGGTCCGAAACTCAGACTATCATACGCCGTGCGTGGTGCTTGCGCATGCATATACAATGTCGTGTGGTGTGGATAAATACAGGAATGATATGTGGACGGTTCTGCGTATTTTAGAGCTGCATAATCAAGAACAAAAAAATATATTGACATTAAAAAAGAGAAATATATAAATAAAAAGATGAAAGATAATTTTAACTCGAAAAACAATAAAAGATAAAAAAAAATATTGAAAACGTGCAAATTTTAAAAATTCTTTTATATTTTATAGGTAGCCAGTGCAAGAGAATAAGGTATGGGGATATGAAAGGGGCATTAGCAACTAAACGAGCAGCAGAGTTGAAATAAAACGATAAAAAGAGTAATTTATAATCAATTAGTCTGTCGACAGCGTTTAAACAGAATGAGGAAATTATGAAAAGAATTGTTAGAAACAATATCAAACCAATTAATGAACAAGAAACCGTTAAACATAGGATCTATTACAATAATCGATCGATCTTCGTTTAGCGTCCAGAGACCCAGTTTTCCGAGGTAGGACGTTGTTTTCTTTGCCATACACTTTCTGCGCCAAATTAGACGATCAGTTTTATCCATTTCATTTAAATTTAGAGCTTTCATGTCTTGCTCGATTGTTTGCGACCAGGACTTCTTTGGACAGCCTTTGGGACGTGTGCCAGGTACTTCAACATCTGCAAGAGAAGTTATGGCTGGCTGTTTCCACTTCGTTTGACATGACCAATCCACTGCAGACGGTTTGCCGGCTATCGTTTTTTATATCATTTAAACCAGCACGACGCAGGATTTCGGTAGATTTAATGTTGTCCTTCAGACTAATTCGTTGCGTCCATCGGAGCATTTTCATGTCGGTTCGTTGAAGTTGTTGTTCCAGTTTGGTTGTCATTGGTCATGTTTCTGCACCATATAACAAGACCGGACGTATCACAGATTTATAAATTCTTGATCGTAGTGGTGGTGAGATGTCACGCCGCATCAATATAGAGGCAATGAGATGCCATTTATTTCAGGCTGTTTCAGCTGTTCCAGTACAATCTAGAACATCCCCTACATATTGAAACGATGTGACTTTCTCTACCTTAATGGCTCCAAAAACATTGCTTTTTCGAATTTGTTGTCGTAGATTTATGCAAGCAGGACAAACAAAATTGGACTCTTTAGATAAAGTACCAATTATTTTTGAACAACGTTTGTGATACCACTGGTTAGACTGCTGACACTTGATTGAATTGTTACCTACACTAGTTTTACAAACTGAACAGAGCATCGTCCAGTAGTTGTGGATTGGATGGGTTCACCAGAGTTCATTGCCTTGGTTTTGCTGATGTTGACTTTGAATCCACGATCGGCGAGTCTGGTGTTCCAATCTTCAAACATCTGTGCTGCATTCTGCTCAGACGTGGCTGTTAAAACGATATCATCAGCATATATTAGATTACAAATGTCACCTGTGCGTATCGGTTTTGTGATTTCTTCCATCACAGTTATAAATAACAGTGGACTGAGAATTGAGCCTTGGTGAACACAAATGCCGATGTCAAATGCATCTGTGTTTCCAACCGTTTTGCTGACGAGAGTCTTAGTATTCGTTCTTGTATTATTTCCATCACAAGTCGAACAAGATATTCTGGAATGAGTTGGTGACGTAGACTCCACCTGATTGCTTCACGGGGAACTCGATCAAATGCTTTTTCAAGGTCTACAAAAACGTGTGATAGTTGTTGATGCTTTGCGAGGTACTTCTCTTGCAGTTGCCGAAGGATGTGAATTGCATCAATTATTGATTTCTCCGCTAGAAAACCAAATTGATAATTTCCGAATATGATGCACGACGTTAATCTTCTCCCAATGATTATCTCGACAATTTTCAGGGAGTGTTCTAACAGACGTATACCCCGATATGATGAACAGTTCAATGGATCACCGTTGCTTTGTATAGCGGAATTGTCATGCTATAGTTCCATTCAGTCAGCATTGAGCAATTTCTCCAAATTTCACGGCAAAG